CAACTTCTTCATTTTTTATATGCCATATCCTGTCTGTACGTGGTGATCATGGCTCTCCATAACTTCTTACCAATTTGCTGTAAGCAACATTTATCCCCTATCTCTCCCAGCCCCTGTTCTGCAATCCATTTACAAAAGCTTACACAGGCAGGTTACTTACTGTTTCCTTTTGCCTTTCTTGTCTTCAGTGTCAAATTCTCCAAGTCTTCTTTCCTTCTTCTGTATCCCAGAAATTTTAACTATCATTTTCTAATTCTAAATACAAGTGTTTTTTTTGTATCCATCTTCCTTAAAATTTTATTGTTGCTCACAAGTTCAGTCCATAGTATTCTCAACATCCTTCTGTAGAGCCCCATCTCAGTTACTTCAAATTTGACCTGTGAGTAAACTGAATAGCATTCACTGCTATATGACATTGCACTTGAGTATTTTTCTTTATTTCTAATGAAATTTTCCTTTTTATTAATACATTTAGCTTTTAAAAGGCACCTTTTGCTTTTCCAATATACCTCTGGATTTCTGTAATATTTTCTATCACGTGTTCCTAGATAGTTACATTTTTATACTGGCTTGATACACAAAAATAATTCAATAAAACATCCCAGGTCCACCAGTCAGTGTTTTTAACATTGGTTAGCAATCTCATCTACAGTCAAGTTTGATTCTCGCATAGTGCTCAAGACTTGTGGCCTTGTGTCAGGCTAAGCAGGGCTGAGTAAATATAGAAGGATTGCTCGCCATGGAATGTTTGGCGAATCAACAACTTCCATCATGTAATTCAATCCTCTATTATTGTGGTCCTGTGTGTCTAATTAAGTGGTTTAATTAAAAAAATTTGTTCAGCCTTGAAGCTAAGATCATTCTGTATTTTTCACAGTTGGTGTTCAAGCCCAGTAAAAACCAGCATTTTAAATGCTGATTTTCTAAGTCTTGCCATTTGGAGAATTAGAGTAACACAATTTTTATGCCCATTTCAATGGGCAACTTCCTTGTGGCAAACATGCTAATCAAGCAGACCATTACTATTATGGTGTGAGTTCAATCTTCAGTTGATGCTTTATATTTTTGACCTGTTACCTTTGCATGTGAAAGTGGACTTCTAATATTATATGCGAGTCCTGTATTTGCAGGTATATATCAGATGCACACTTAATAAAAGTAAAAAAATAATAATGTAGATATTACGCTGTGTCCAATGTGCTGGTAGTACAACAAGGAGGACGTTTACCAAAGTAAAACTGGTTGGTTGTTTTTGTTTAGTGGCATATCAACATCTATGGGTTATTTAATGTCGAAATCTAAATATTTTGTATGCAATTCTTTTTCTTCATAATAATTAACCCCTAGTTGGTGCGAGAAGAGGTGGATTCATACCTTTCCCAAGAACTTTTGTGCATAAGTGAATATAAGGAATTGGAATTTGGTTCTCCAATTAAACATTCTAAGCCATTATCCATTACACCACTCACATATCCAAGTTTACAACACATGGTATTCTAGGTACTGACCAGGCGGCTTAAGTGATTGTACAGGAACCAGTGTTTCAACATGATGTGACCATAAGCCAACCAAATTGGATAGTCATATAGTTTGGATAAATTCCAATAAGCATTAGTCCCTCCAATACCTTTGTAAATGCAAGGATTTAAGGCAAATGAAATAAGTTTTCTTCTATATGCATATCTATATGTTCTTCTACATGTTCCTTCCGGATGTGGATGATCGTTGCTTTTCACAACTTCCTTTCCTTTGGAAATTTTGTGTTTTTGCTATCTCTTCTAATCCCTGTTCTGCCAACCATTTATACAAGCTTGTTAGGTATGTTATTAGCTGATTTTGTCTGTCCCACTTGCCTTCAATGTCCTGTGAGTGTCAGATTTTCCAAGCTCTCTTTCCTCATTGTCCTAAAAACTTTAACTCTCTTTCTGATGTTAAGTATGTGTCCTTTTTGTTTCCATTTTTTTCTACAACTTCATCATTGCTCACATGTTCAGTCTATAGTATTCTCAGTATCTTTCTGTAGAATCCCATTTCTGTTGCTTCAAGTCTCTTCATCTGTGATGAGATGGCCCAGAATACACATCCATATAGGAGGTTATTACATAACCATTAAGTACTTTTTTCTTGGCTTCTAATGAAATTTTTCTGTTTTCTAACACTTTGCTTAACTTTTGGAAGGCATCTTTGGCTATCCCAATGCACTGTCAGATTTCAGTGTTGCATTCTCCATCCTCTGTTAAAACACTTTCTAGATATTTAAATTTTTGCTCTATCCTTCTTTATATATTTTAGTGGAAATAAATAGGAGGCAATTTTTATGGGGTATCCCTAGTGTGTGAATGTCAATTTTTTTTTTTTTTTTTTTTTTTAAATGGCTTACTGAATATTAGGAAATCTTAAGGTCATGATAATCTTTATATTTTTCTATTGGAAACATTTTTAAGCATTTGTATTTATTGGCAAACTGAAATGAAAATGGAGATAGAAAAGTCAATAGCTAATCATGGTCAGTGTGGGAGAAGGTGGAAAACCCCACACATAAAAGAAAATATAATTTAAATGATTAAAATTTCATCATCCCCTCTCTGGTGTGCATGTGAAGTTAGATCAATGTAAACATGAAGCCATAAAGGACAAAAGACATCACACAGTTTTATTCAGTGTTATTAATTTTCCACACGTGTGTGTGTATGTATGTATGGGAAACAATCCCTCTTTTACACAAGCTTTGTTAAAGATGACTGACAAGGTACCGCAATTAAGATTTTTGTTGAATTTTTAGTGTTCATACAAGTGTTTTCTTTTTTGAAAATAAAGTGTGTAAAAACTCAAAATATTCTGCATTGAGAATATTCTACACAATGAACTTGGCAAGACAAAGGTTGCTGCTTGCTACATCTTCTGCAACCTAATCAAAAGTGCATCAGAGATTGCATCATGGGCAAATCAGACAGTTTCAGACAGATCCATCTGGGTTCCTAATCCAGGATATGTGTTGGGTTATTACTTTGAGCCAGAGACAATCCATACAATGGAAACACTCACCTTACATGCCCCGAAGTTGGAAGGGAGGAGATGATCTGTTTTTTGGGGATCCAAAAAGGCATTTGTTTATTAACCCTTTTCAAGAGCTACAAAATCAATTGAGTACTATGCCAACTTGAAGCAGTTACAAAGACTCAAGACCAAATGCCCAGGAACTGACAAAAAGGTCTTGTCTCATCAGGACAATGCTCCAGCACACAAGTCATGGGTTTCAATGGCTGCTGTGCATAAAAGGATCCAAGCACTGTAACACTGATGAAGAAGGAAGTGTAGACCACAAGGGGGACTGTTAAAAAAAAAAAAAAAAAATGACCTCATTTGGTGACATTCCAGGAGAATATGTTGGTCAGCCTATGAACTTTTCAGCTGATTCTTGTACAAAAAGTCAAATATGGAACCCAATGATGATATTCTTAGATTTGATTTGCCAGCTGTGGTAACAAAACAGCTGTTATTATAAAAGTACAGGATTCTCAAAGCAAGAGATGAAGGCTTGAGTCTCACAAAGAGACTTCTTTATTCCCCATCCACGCCATTTGCTGATGGTCAAACAATGACGGTATGAGTAATTGCAATGAAAAAGCAACTACAACTAGATTGAAAAATGAGGGAAATATTTGTCTAAAATAAATAATAGGTCAGATTACTTAAAACCCGTGTTTTATTTGACGATGCAATAATCAGTTAGTAGTAATAGGCAAGACAGTAAAAAGATATTGAAATTGCACTGTCAGAATACCAAGACAAACCACTTGTAAAATGACTATATACAAGTACCTTGTCTTGGTATTCATGGTACAACATTAGTTTGGTGAACCATTTATCATGAGCTTGAAAATTTGAAGCAAGCCTATCATGTAATCTAGGGAGTTTAACTCCAAAGAATTGAATTTATGTTATGCATTAAATAAAAATTTAATATTCTTTTTAGATAACTTCTGCTTAGCATATATATAAATAAATAAATTTATCAGTACAAAAGTTAATGCATTTGCAACTCAAACATACTATATAAAGTAAATTATAGAGTTTATTGCGTTAATCCTTAAATGGCAGGCATCATCAATTGAGGTTTCACTGGAAATCAACAGATACCAATTTCCCAATTACATGAGAATCGTTTCTTCAGGATTTTGATCTAGATGACTGAATCAGCAACTCTAGAATTCAGGCATTTGGTATTTAAAAGAGAAAAAAAGCAGTACACTGCATAAGGGCTTTGAGCGGATTCCACCTTACAAGATTTTTTTTTTTTTTTTTAGAACAGGTGAAGAAACACCTACATTTCATGCCATTGCAATACCCTGGTATCTGATCTAAGAGGCGGGAAAACACCAAAAAGCATAGCACAATGAATGAAAGCATAATTCATAACTTGGGACTGATCCATTCATGATTTTACAGACCTAAGAACATTATTGCAATTCCTGCCATTCAAAGTCACCTTCATGTTCTTGTTCATAAATAGTAGCAGCACAGCTTTAATGAATATTGGTCATACTCTCAAACTGGAGTAGGCAACAGATGAAGAAAGAGAAGGGGGGGTTGGGAATTTTATAAAATGAGAGGATACACTTTGTTGATTAATTTCTTTAGAGATGCACCCAAGTGCCATTTTTATATTCATTACTTTCAAGATTCTTTGTTAAAAGGTTTGTGAATTTTACTTTTGTAAATTATGGTGGTAGTATTTTAAAAGCTGAGAGGAAGTTTATCTGTAACATGAAGACTGCCTCACCAATTATAGTAAAGCTGATTGGCTTTTAGTCTTCAACAAGAAAAATTATCCATATATTAAGCTGGTCCTAAAGAAAACAAAGTAGTTATTGGTTTCACCATTATTTTATTTTCAAAGTCTGTACACATCTTTTCTAATGCAGGTAACATTAGAATGATCCCTGTCATGAATACTATTGAATGCAATTTTTCAATTTGTTATTAATGAAAAAAAAAAGTTAACCAGCAAAACCAGCAAGGAAGTTGGTGACAACGGCTTTCAATTTGGCATCTGATTCTTCTGTGATTTGGCCATCTTTAGCGATGGTTTGCAAAAGAGTTTGCTGTGTGGCTTTGATGTGTTCAGAGAATTGCTGCTCAAAAAGTGTAACCTTGGCAGGATCCACTTTATCTAGATGACCTTTGACACCAGCATAGATAGTGGCAACTTGCTCCTCAATAGCCATAGGACCTTGAAAGAAGAAGAAGAAAAAAAAAAAAAAAAAATTATTTTCTAACCTAGCAATTCTCTCAAACAGAAATTTGAGAGAGAATTACACAGTTGAATGGTCTTTTTAAGTATAGAATTCAAAACATTAACATTTTGTATACTCATGCAAAAAATTAGTCAGTTCTTGACAAAAAAACTTTGATATTGCAATTTCAATAACATTTTATTTTTTATATGGGCTGAGGATGAGGTGAATGTTTGCTTTTGGTACCTAATTTAAATTACTCAGAATTTTCCAAATAGAAACTTTTAGATCACTAAAATATAAACAAAATTGCTGCATCAAGTTTTTTTAAATTTTAATCTAATTCCATAATATATTTTATCCCCCCTGAGGAAAAAAAAAAAAAAAAAAAAAAAACTTACAATATTGTCCTTGCTTGAGTAATTCAGTTAGCCTGACACCTCGGTTGAGAAGGTTCTGGGTGGCTTGATCCAAGTCAGAACCAAACTGAGCGAAAGCTGCTACTTCACGGTACTGAGCCAATTCCAGCTTCATGGAACCAGCCACCTACAAGAAAACACAGAAGCTAAGCTCTACCAGAAAAACAAAACAAGAGTATAAAGAAGGAGCAAAGAGAAAATCTAAAAACTCACTTGTTTCATGGCTTTAGTCTGAGCAGCAGATCCTACACGGCTGACAGACAATCCGACATTAATAGCAGGTCGAATACCTTTGTAGAACAACTCAGTTTCCAAGAAAATTTGTCCGTCAGTAATGGAAATGACATTTGTTGGAATATAAGCAGACACATCACCAGCCTGGGTCTCGATAACTGGTAGGGCAGTGAGAGAACCACCACCATTATTTGGGTTCATCTTGGCAGCTCTCTCCAGGAGCCGAGAGTGCAGATAGAAGACATCACCAGGATAGGCCTCACGACCTGGTGGACGACGCAACAGCAAGGACATCTGACGATAGGCAACAGCCTGAAAGGAAATAAAGAGATACAAGAAAAATTGAATATGACTCATCAAAGTGCATGTTACTAGGAATTTAAAACTGAATGCACAGAAACTTTCTCTTACAAGAAAGAGAATGTTACAACTTACCTGTTTAGATAAATCATCATAGATGATAAGGGCATGGCCACCATTGTCTCTGAAATACTCTCCCATAGCACAACCGGAGTATGGAGCAAGGTATTGCAAGGGTGCAGCATCAGATGCAGTGGCACTGACCACAATAGTGTAACCAATAGCATCTGAGAAATCAAAGGATATATACTTAGTAGATACCATTAGAAAAGTCCCAATTGTATTAAGACATGATCACATTGAAAGATTTCCATTGTGATTAACAGCCAACTTTTATATAATCACACATCCCAAAACAAGAATGACAGACACTGCAAAGTCAGGGCCAGAAGTATATAAACAAGTAAACCAGTACTTAATTTTGAAGTGTTAAAAAAAAAAAAAAAGTTATGGCCATAAGATGAGCTAAGAATTTACTAAATAGATGACAATTTGTGGGAGGGGGTGAGGTTCAGCCATGGTGAGTACTTATTGGTTATGTTCAAAGAGAAGAAAAATCACAAACTGCTGACAAAGCATTAGGCAGTCAATTACAAACCAATAGAAGGACTACTGTAGCACAATTTGCAGATCACTTTAATCAGGGTGAAGAAAGGAATACATCATTAGATCAAGCCTTGTCATATATGAGCCTGCATAGCTGCAGAACGGTTTGAATGCCCGAGCAAGTATCAAGTGGAAGTTTGCTTGTTCTGATGAGCCAAATGTTGTCCTAGATAAGTGATGGTATCAGGGTATATTATTTGGGAGGGAGCGAGGGAGAAGACAAGTCAGTGAAAGCAGTATATGTTGGGCAATGCTTTATAGAGAAACATTAAGCCCTATCATTAGTGTAGAAGATTTTGTTGCATCAGGAACATGAAGACATTGTGTTCTGATCAAAGTTCCCCAGATATTAATCCCATCAAGTACTCATGGGATCAACAAGTTTACTTTAAAGAACCTTCATGTAATCTGTAACAATTAAAAAAAGGACCTGCTGTTTACCTTCTAGCACAAGATCAGACAAAATATTTAGGTCTCATGCCTGTGCCAGATTTAAAAAAAAAAAAAAAAAAAAAAAAAAAAAAGGTAATGTTTTGGTTCAGCATGTCTCTGCAATCTGATATTTTGAACAAATCTAAAAATGCAATAAAGCGAAGTAACCATTATTGTAATCATTTAGTTACAATAGTTACTAATCTTGATTAGTTAGCTCATCTTGATTCATGGTGCCTTCATCCCGATTGTGGTAGTGTAATTATTTGCCTTTTTTGAGTACCTTATACTAAACCAATTCAAATAAATCAATCTACAATAATTCTTCAGAAATTTAATGACAAATTTCATATAATATTTCATAAATTTTAAGCAAAAGATTAACTCCAAGGAAATAATGAAATTAAGCATTTGAGATTTGAGCAACTAAGCTGTTATATGTAAAATTACATTTCTTTTTAATCTGTTATAATACATATTTTAATAGTACTTGTGATTTTTAAAACATTAAAAAAATGAAGCAGTGGAAACAATATCGTCACATTTTAGACAAATAGTAAAACACTAAGAAAGAATGTGTACAAATTAAGTAAAAGAGAAAAAGATTGATACTTACTAGCATCTGTCAATCTCTTGACAATTTGAGCAACAGTGGATCTCTTTTGGCCAATAGCAACATAGATACAGTAGAGTTTCTTACTCTCATCCTGACCTTCATTGAAACGTTTCTGGTTAATGATGGTATCAATAGCAATTGCAGTTTTACTAGAAAGAGAAATTTAGAAAACTTGATTCTCATGTCAACAATCCATTTGATAAATGTTGCCTATATGCAGAGAAAATACAGCTTTGTAGGTGTAGAAATTACATTTGAATTGAAATGGAACATGTTTAATATTATTACTATAGATATATTGAAATTTTAAAAAGACTACACATTTAGAAAGATAAGTTGAAGGAAGAATATACTTACCCAGTTTGCCTGTCACCAATGATTAACTCACGCTGACCTCTGCCAATGGGTACTAAACTATCCACAGCCTTGATGCCAGTCTGCATAGGTTCACGTACAGAAATCCTAGGAATAATACCAGGAGCCTTGGTGCCAACACGGGCACGAGTGGCAGACTTTATAGCACCCTAGAAGTCAGTTAAATGAAAGAATAAAATCAAAACCATATTTATAGCAAAAACGCACTGTTAAAGCTAGACATTTTTTTTAAATAAGCAGATAAAGCTTAGATTTGATGGATAAATATTCTGCTAATATATACAGCACAAGAGCTAATGGAATACAAGTTATTCCTCTATGCCCAGGAATAATATGCTTTCAGTTACAACATTGGTATAATGTAAATGTAATTTTCCAAAAAGGAATAATTGAATAATTTAAAATGTTAAACCTAGCATCATTGCAAGAAGTACCTTTCCATCAATGGGGTTACCAAGAGCATCAACAACACGTCCAAGCAACTCTTTACCAACAGGTACGTCCACAATAGCTCCAGTTCTTTTCACAATGTCGCCTTCCTTGATGAGTTTGTCATTACCAAAGACGACAACACCCACATTGTCAGGTTCCAAGTTCAAGGCCATACCCTAATAGAGAAGAAAGAATAAAAATAAAAAATATCAAAGCAAAGATTCTATATTCATTATGGAAAAGTTATTTTCAAACATGAAAATTTACCAAAAGATCTATGTTAATTGTTAACATTCTGTTGTATACATACGAGTAGTAAAATTTCAAGTTTCTAAATCCCACTTATAAAGAAAGAACATAAAAATCTAAATTACCTTAAGCCCACTGGAGAACTCTACCATCTCCTCAGCTTGAATGTTCTTTAAGCCATAGACACGGGCGATACCATCACCAATAGACAGTACTTTGCCAGTTTCTTCAAGGTTTACAGTTGAGGTCTGGTTCAAAATCCTTTCCTCAAGAATGGAAGATACTTCAGCACCTAAAATAAAACAGATTAAAGCAGGAAGAATTAACCAATGTTAACATTAAATTGAAGATATGAGAAAATAGAAAATTAAAGCAATTTTCGGTTTTAAAAGCTTTATATACACAAATTAAATACTTCAAATCACTGGACTAAACATACTATAAATATATTTCTAAATTCTGAACAATTGCTTTTTGTAATAAGATTAAGTGAAATTAGCTATACCAAAGCAGATTTGAAATGTCTGCCATTCTAGTTAAAATCTAATTCAAAGAAAATTTTCAATTTACATTAAAAATGAAGTAGTAACAGCTTAAGAAAACAACCCAGAAAGGTTGTGTTAAGTTTGTTTTAAATGGGTTGAATGCATCAATATTATTTTAAATAAGCCTAGAAGCCACTCTTTGGGTGGTCTTTAGGTGAACACCTACTGAGCACTTTTGGGCCTTTTATCCCCAGTGTTCAATGAATGTACAAGTTATAAGAATTAGAAATATAATTATTTTATCTTTGACCCCTTAATTTTGCATAATCTTTCTTTGTATATGCATCAGATCTCTGTAGTTTGTTTACATTTATTTTGCACACGTTTTATTTTCTTAAAAAAGAAAAATCTTTAGGATCCCTTCACAGTCACTCTTAAGACATTAGAGAACCCGAACTATGTAATATTTCGAATGTCACAGTATGTGAGCTAGAAAAAGAAACATGAGCAACATAATGTATCCTGCTTAAGTTTTAATTATGGTTTAATTAGACAATATCAATTGCAATGAAAAACAAAATTAAAGTTAAACCTTTAATAAAGAATTGTTTTCTTAAATCTTTCACCGTTTGATATTAAGACTTAACCTTAAATGAACTGTTTAATTTTTAATTGCATGTTACTACCTGTTACTTTAGGTTATGCTTCACCGAGATTGAAAAATGGATGGATAAATGTATACTGCGCTTTATTTATCTAAAAGAAAAATGAAACACTGAAAGAGCTTAAATTAAAAGACAATTTCACACAAATAGTTTAGCAACAGTACAAAGGCATATTAGTACATCACTACCCTGCTCAAAGGTTTAAAAGAAAGAAAGAAAAAAAAAAACATTGGTTTTTATAAGATAATTTTAAGTACTAACCAGCAGCCTTTGCAGGAGTGGTAGTGGAGAACTTCCTGGCAACAACAGTTCCAGCTCCAAGGGCATTTGTGCAGACCTGAAAGATTTAATTTATTATTTTAAAACAGAAAAATCCAATAACTCTTAAGAGCCGTAGATAATAAAAAAAACAAAAAAAACAAAAAAACAAAAAAAACAAAAAACAACTTGCTAAGTTAAAAATAAACAAGTTTAAAACCATCTGACTGGGACACTACTGAAAATTGAAAGTTTATTCAATGATTTTAATTAAGTCAAATATGCAAGTCAATTTAAGTTTCAGATGAAATAGTAAACGTCAAATATACGTATTTACTGAACATAATACATTATTCTGCATTCAATAAATACCTATATTGGACATATCAAGTATCTATAAAATATTCCAATTGCATTTCAACAAAGATGGCTAGCGAAACCTGAACCAAGGACGGACAATTATTCCGATAACAAGGTTATCGAACTTGGATATTTCTGCTTTCCTTTTCTAAGACCAACGAAGTATTACGGTATCAAACATCGATAGCTTTTTAAATAGAGGCGAAAACCGTGCAGATAGAATTCATATAAAGCTAAAGAGAATGTCGAAATCGAATATACCCGTGAAGTTCTCGTACAGAATTAAAAGCTAAAACAAATATTTCACTATGCACAAGAAATAAAAATTCTTGTATTACAAGATTGGCATGGTCACAGAAATTTTTTTTTTTTTTACAGCAGCAGTTTTCAATGTTCATTCTTAATATTCGGAATTTTACAGGTCGACTGCATAATTCTGTTGAAGGTCACAAACAATTGGTATATCCAAGGAAAACTTCGAAACCGGCTAAAAAGTCACACGAGAATGTAAGTGTGAAATACAAGCCTAATACTTTATCTTTTTTAATAGTCAATGCATGAGAAATTCTAAGTAAAGAGATAACACGGTTATCAATGGAATTATGATCACCCACAGTAAGACAAAACAAACCAAACCAAAAAGAGACAAAGTTTCCTTTCGAAACTAAACAGAAATAGTGATTAAGTTTTGACTTTTGTTTAATGAAAACTGGTGTTTTTTTTTTTTTTGAAAGCCCGAAATGATGGCAAGAGAAAAGAAAAAAAAGGATACGTTTTCAGATTTTACCATTTGAAATAACGCACATTATTAACCGATAGATTTCATATATAATCCTGTTTACAAAACCGGATTGTCCCTTTTTTTCTGTTCACTTACATTTCCAATTAAAAAGTTCAAAGTCATGTAAATTTTAGCGACTTCAGAAGACAAAGAAAATAATTTGCAAATTGATCTAACACGGCAAAATTATTCATAAATCAAATGTATATAGCACCCCTAATGAAAAAAAAAGAAGTAGTGCAATTATCGCTTAAGAAAAGAAAAGGTGACATTCACCTGGTTAACCTTATGTCATCAGTGTAAGGGACGGAGTGAAGGTTAGTCAAATTTCGATAAAAAAAAAAAAAGAAAAAAAAAAAAAAAAAAAAAAACAAAACAACAAAAAAAAAAAGAAAAGAATGAATAACATTCAATAGTATTGAATGTTATTCATCGATTTTGATTATTGAAGTGATTTACCAGTAATAAACAATATAGGTGGAGTTGAGTGATATATATTGTTTATTGTAAATACCGTAGTGTACATTTTTTATAAAGTTAGGGCAAATATTAAAAAAAGAAAAGAAAAAACGTACATTCAATTCGATCAGTAAGAGTGATTGTTAGTTCAATCACCTATTACGCAATTAGTATCGTACCATATGCACGTCATGAGCAATATTTTGAATTAAAAAAAAAAAAAATTTATTACTTCAGTTAGCAACAACTCTGAAAAGATTTCTAAATTCTTAAAGAAAAAGAGACACTTTCAAAGGAAGTAGAATAGAGAAACTTAGAGTAAACACAAGGTATTTTTTATAAATAAAAATGATTTTTTTCCGATAAAAGGCAAAACTTATACTTGCAATTTCATGAGAAATTTGTATTCATTTATTCGTCGTTTGCAATTGAATCTTAAATCTAGTCAACGTATAACTGCCACGACCTTCAAGTATTGTTCACAAGGTTAGGGGAGAGAGAAACCTATGTAGACGAAATAATTATCAGACACCAAACTTTCTAACGTAATATTAACATTTTAGATGAAAAAATTATTTGATTTTAGTCACTTTGTAAATATTTTGCACAACCAATCGCATCCCCGAACAGAATAAAAAAAAAAGTACCGCTGCAATGTCATGCACGCCATTTTAAGTGCCGGAAAGCAGGCATAGACGGAGTTAGATGATATTTTGATGTAAATATGAAATGATGGCGACTGAACATAATTAAAACTAAATCTTCGGATATCAATAAGACATTATACCTTAACTGCTGCCCTTGGAATCTGCCTAATAAGACCGGCTGTCACCCGTGCAGCAAGCATCGTGATCCACCAAAGTTGTTCGTTGCAGGAAGATGGCTGAACAAGGGCGGTCTAAACTAAGCATTATGGGAGATAGTCTCAAACTCAAAATTGAAAAAAATTATTTTCTTTATTTAAAATAAAACAATGTACTAATAAAACCTTTTCATAATGAAAGCATTAATAATAGTAGTATTATTTAAAAATAATAATCGTAAAGTAAAATTAGAACTCGTAACAATCGGCAGAATTCGCATTTTTCCGTAAATGTCACATGACGGAATTTTTAAGAACTGATACAACTACTATAAAAAAAAAAAAAAAAAAAAATTGTACCTAGTCGCTATTATGACGACACAGTTACCGTTGTGGGCTTATCAGACACTAAGCGCTACGAAGTCTATTAACAATTAAAAACAAAAAGAAGTGGGTTCTTCGTTGTTATACAATTTGATATTTAAACGCTTGGCAAAGAACTAATCATCTTTTAATATCGTCAACATTTTTCACCTGCGACTATAACCAACAAAAATGTCTTTGAGTAGTAGCTTATCAAAATGGTGCTTATTCGCATTGTGTTTATTATTTTGGGTAAGTTACATTTCTCTTGTTGATTTATACATTAAGTTATTTAAGTACCTAATATTAATTAAAAATTTGGTAGGTTATTAAATTTTCTCTTAAGATACCCAATTATGTAGCTATATTTAATAATTTTAAATTATGTATAAAGTGTAACTCAATCAATATTTCAACATAATTTTATGAATTATTTCACTATGATGTTTAAATTTAAAAACGTCTGATGCGGTTTTGAGTTTTTATTAAAACTTTTTTAAAAAGGTTGTTGGAATTTACTTTTGAATTTTTGTTGCTGAGTAAATAAGTGCATATATCACTATAAAGTTGTTAGGGTAAACTTAAATAAAATTTAATTTAAAAGGAGTAAGAAAACTTTTTAGGAATATACAATGATGGTCTTGCCAGCGCTTTTTATTTACGCTTTTTGAAAAAAATAACTTTACACTTACGGTAAATAACTTCAGTTTTGATCAGTAAATATATAAATGTACTTTGGTAAAAACTAAAAACAGAAGCTATTGTTGTGAATACTTTGGACACTCAATTTTTTAAAAAAATTGATGGAATAGACTTCGATTTTTAAAATGAAAGAAATCTGCCTCAACTCCAAAGTTGCCACATGTGGTTGTGTTTTGTTGTCAAAATTAAACATTCGTTACTCGTAATTCATTTCATTATTCTGGTATTTACGACACCAGTACATCTTGTTTAGTTTATTTTCCTTTTCTTTTTTTTTTTTTTTTTAAATAAAGCATTTTTTTTCTTATTTTTGGTAACGCCCGAAAAAATGTCAAAGATTGCATTTGTGTAAATAAATAAATAATTTTTAACTCTTTAATTTTGCTTTTTAAATTGCTACTCTGAAAGTTCCAACTATCAGATGGTAATTCCATCAAATCAACAAATTAAATGAGCCTAGAATTTTGTTGCACTATAATTATTTTTGCATAACTTTTATTTATTTTTTTTTTGACTTCCTCTTTCAATTATTAAACAAATATTTAAAAACGCAGTTGTAACCGACACAAGTTTAGTAAAGATTCCAACTAAAATCTTTAGACAAAGTTTCGTTCTCGATATCGGCAAATTCTGTGTTTATCGTCATCCTTTTTCTGTGCATGTGGTGGAAACTAATTTTCCCGTTTAATCCGACACAAATTATTGGAAAGATTTTCACTCTGACCGTTCTGTAGTTTTAACCTTCCTTAATGAATTGAAAAGTCTTCTTCCAGTCGATAAGAGAAATCCCCTAAAAATCTTTCATTCCAGAAAGCACATTTTTTTTTTTTTTTTTCAAAGAAACTTTTTCATTATTTTTCTATAGACTTTTAAAATATAATCTATATTCCAACTTATTTTTTTTTTATTTTTTAACTCAAGATATGAGATCGGGTATCAGTGACTATTGAACCCTCCCTTCTTCCCCTAATTAAGTTATCTTACAAGTTTTAGTTTCTTTTAAGTTTTAAATATTCGAAATTCCTCGTATTAAAAATATTTTTGTTTCTCTCTCTCTCAAAAAGTAAACTTAACCATCGCCTGTTCTGCAAAACATTTTTGTCCTTGTTTGTGAACTTCGTCCTGTTAGAGAGCATCACCCATGATTGTAAAAATGTTATATTTTTTTTAGCATCTTCCAAAGCGGTTTAAAAAAAAATGCATTATTAAAAATGTAAAAAAATCTTTCTTGAAGCTTTTATTTCAGTTTTACTTTTAATTTCAAGATAATACATTTAAATTTTAATATTTCCAATAAGCAAAACGAAACCCATTGTATTTCAAACTGAATTTTAAAGAAAATGATTGCAAGAATTTTTTTTTTTTCAATAAAAACGTCAAAATTTTCCATATTGACAAAAATCTGTCAACTCAACACCACGTAATTCTCTTTATTGAAGAATCTTTAAAAATATACTTGTCTGAAACTTTATTTGCAATATATTAGCTGATTTAAACTAAAGTTTAATTAAGCCTTAAGGTGATTTAAAACATTACTTAAAAACACTTTTTTTAACACCTATACAAAAGCGATTAAACGATTTTCTAATTAAATAAGGTTTTTTAATTTTTAGTTTTTACATTTTTTAAATTTTTACACTTCAGAGCAAATTTTCTGTAAGTTAGTAGGATCCTGTTTGATAAAAAAAAAATTGGTTATTTAACTTCTTTGAGGACTTTTCCTTATAACTAAAAATAAACATTTATGATTTAATGATTTAAGTGCTACAAAAAAAGAATTCTCCAGTGTTAACATTGTATCATAAATTATGAGAAATTTGTCTTTTGCAGTTCAAAACGCACCGATTTGGAAATTCTTGTAAAAATCTGATAATTGTCAGTTTTTAATGAAACTTTCAGAACTTATTCACAAATCAATTATTTTTTTAGATGTTTCTTCACAATATTTTTTGAAATTTTTTTTTTTTTCCACATCTGTTAACAGATTTATTTTTTTATTTTTACATTTAAAAATATCCTTTGATCTTTCCTCTTAGTCTTCTTAATAATAGCAATAAAAATGATCATAAAACTTTTTTTTAAAGTTTTTTTTTTTTTCTTTAACTTTTAAAAAGCTAATCTTTTGGAGGTGCCTAGTTCTATTTACACTGTAAAAAAAAAATTGATTTTTATACCAGATTCCAAAGCAGATCTGACTTAAAAGTAAAACAAATCCACGTGTAGGCTGGACACTAAAGGTTTTTAATCTTCTTTTTATGCAAAGGACTGATAAATCCTCTTAATTTTCATTAACACAAATGTTGTGTATCTCCGATGTCAATAATTGGCAACTTGTATCTCCGATGTCAGTGTTAATTAGAAATTAATGGCATTGTGAAAACTAAAACAAGATTTTAACGTTAATGGTTTTTTGGTTTTTTTTTTTTTTTCCTTTGCTACTTTTCCCCATCAAACTCATATCAGTTTGATTTCTGAAGCAATTTATTAAGTTCGTTCGTAATGTTTGATTCAGGATTCTTTACTTTGTTTTGTCACGAGTCCTAACTTTTCGTGATATCTTTTCAAGCAAACTATAAAAAAAAAGCCTAGTCACAGGGATTCCATGCATAAGACTGGACATCTTATTGTGAAATGTATTTTTTGCTTAGACATAGTTTATTACATATCCTTTCCTATATCAAAGTTAATGATTATTACTCTATTTAGAATAGCTTTTTTTAACTGATATGTGTACTGTTTCCAGCTCTATGGGAGATAACTCTAATTTTTCTCTAGCAGTTGTTTAAAAAAAAAAAGAAAAAAAGAAAAGTATATGGCAAATAACCGCTAAATACAAACTTTTTTTTCTATTTTGGTTCTTTATTCTCTTATAAGTTGATTCCTCTTAATTAATACTCTTGGTAGTTGTCTCATAGCATTAATTCTCTATCCTTTTTTTTTTTTTTTTTTTTTCGCAAAATAATCCTTGTACTTGTTTTGTGTATTGCTGACTCATGGATTTTCATTTTGTCTGAAACATTCTCTTCAGAACTGGTTTAATAAAATAGTTGTATTTAAACAGGATGCGGGAGGTGTTGAGATTTAACTTTAAACTTCATATTAGTCTAGATTTAAAACTAATTGTCATTGTCTTTACATGGGCAGTAGTAACAAGTTCAAAATCTATATCGTAAATGCCAATGTCACTGTCATACTCTTTTTTTTTTTTTTTTTTTTTTTTTTTTTTTCAATAGCTCATTTTACATAAGTTTTGGTTTCCCAAGTTTTCATTTCTGCTATTGTTTTTGGTGATTTTTTTTTTTTTTTTTTTATAACAATTTCTATAATTTGGGAATAATTGAAGTTAATTGCGAAAGTCACTCATAAAATAAAAATAATTGTTTTGTATTTAATTAAAGACTTACACATATCAAATTAAGTGGCAGCAGAAGACATCATGGAAATTTTAAAAGCTAAACGTACATATTAATGCAATGCTTAAAAGCAGCAATTAATTTTGAGTTCTTCTGTTTGTTGCCTATTGTTTATGGCAGCAGTATGCCTTGCAAAAAGGAATCTCTGCCAACAGAGGATCAGATTGCCATCAAGAGCCAAGGTTGCAGTGAGGAAAAGAAAATCCCATGCAAATGAGGACCCAGATCAAACAGCAGCCAGGAGAGAATGTGCAAAGTCTTAGGAACTCTCAAACTCCTGAACAAGCTGAAGGTCCAATCAAGAGCCCTCTGCAGGAGCTATCTAAAATGCTGCCCTATATGGTGGCTTTTAAGCTAGTTTTTAATAAATTTGATAATGATTGAGAATATTTGAATTTGTTGAATGACTCTTAGTATGGCTAGACTGTGAATTTCTTGTCCTAATTATCAGCCATAGAATCAGTTCTTTTCCCACTTTTTGACAAACAGAAAGCCATGTGATCTTAATTTTAAAATGATTTTAAAAATATTTAAGCTTTTTAGCAATATGCTTTACGAAAATAGTTATTTCTTTACCTCTTTTTTTAAAAATATTGATAGTAAAATATTTGCAAGGTGGAAAATAAACAAGCCCTTCAGAGATAATGTACAAAAGTTAATACATGACGTTCCATTCAAACATTTGAATTTAATTTTTGCACACATTTTTGTATAAAGAATGTTTTAATGTCTAGTGATGAGTTTTGGGATGTTATTTTCTAAATACCTTGTTATACAGATAGTAAACATTTTCTACAAACCTAGAATTTGGTATCTTCAGCTAATCACTTTTAAGTCATTGAATTATAAAATGAAAACCTATGATTAAGCACAAATTAACATGCACAATTTTTGACATAGTATTCTTTTGTCAATATTGCAATAAAGTATTATGATTCTTAGTTGTTTGTACTTTTTTTTGGCTTGTTAGAAAAGAGGCAATAATGACTTGTAATGTAGGCAAGTATATACAATATAGACTAAGTTGTAGCTGATACTTTTTCCTACAAAATAAAAGTAATCCTCTGAATTTTCCTTACAATTAAGGTAATTATGATTACTTAAACAAAACTTGATGCACAGTAAAATTCTGATTGT